AACCTTCCTTCCGAGGAGTGGCTGGTGGGTTTGAACCGCCAGCCTTCTGGTTAGCAGTCAAGTGCCTTAGGCACTATGCTACCAGAGCTCTCAGACCAAGTATAGCTGATGCTAATTTTGCATAGATACCAGTGATACAAAATACCTGCAATCCTTATAGAAATAACAGAAGACAGACATGGAGCAATCTCTCACAGATAGCCAGACACTGTGGGAGAGAGATCCAATGAACGAATATACTGACTCAGGACCACAGTATTGGGGGACACCAGACTCAACTGGCACAACATACATAAAAATCTTTTTCCACAACCTACATGGGTGAGTAGTGACTGGGTTCTTAAAAGCTTTCAAGCGGCCATCCAAGATGCAGCTAATGGTCTCCTATCACTGGAAGCAAAGAAGAAGGCAAAAAATCAAGGGCATTGATTTTTTCGATGGACCTCGAGACCAGGAGAACTAAATGGAGCCCAGCTACCAATGTCAACTACTCGAAAAAGGACCAAACTGTAGATCCTGGATAGAGTGGGAGAAAAAACATGGAATAAAATCCAAAAACACAAAAATGACCAGAATTACTGGTCAGATGGAGTCTGGTAGGACCCTCCAATACTATGGCCCTGGGATACGTGTCAAGCCTGGAATAAAACTTAATCACCGGGGCTAGCTCTCAGCCCAACAGTAAATAAGACATACATGCAGACCACTCAACCCATGGTGATGTATCGATACTCTATGAGATGCATCCCTTGGAGCAATCAACCACGGGGCACCAGAGAGGCAACATTCACACAGAGGAAATGTAGGACACACAGGAGTGCATAACTGTGAGGGGCATGGGGGGTGGGGCATGTTATTGGGAAGGGAGGGGAGGAGAGTGGGTTAGGGTTGGGGATGGTAATTGAGGAGTGAAACCAAATGTACACGAAATGTTGAATGTAAAACACACTTTGCTCTGTAAACTTGCACCTAAAGCATAATTAAAAACAAAAAACAAAACACATGGGGCCATCATGAGTTGGCTTGGTTTGGTTATGTGTTAAGCAGTGTACATCTAATAGCACATTTATTTGATTCTCAAAAAAACCTTCCAAGCATTGTACTTTTCTCTCTAGTTCACCAATAAGAAAACCAAGGTACAGAGAGGTTTGGTAATTCACTCAAAATCATGTGAGTAGTAACTGTCAGATCAGGATTCAAATCCAGGCAGTCTGGCTGTGGTGTTCATCTCAAAACCACTACTCTCTATTACTTCCTCAATCAAAAACTACCAGTCTTATACGGTCAGGTTTGCAATCATATCTGTTGAATTCAACTGTGATTACAAATACAAATACAAAAATGCCTTTCATTTATAACCTGTAAAGAAAGATGTCTTTGAATTTTACTACTGCATATATCCTGCATTTCTAATAGTAGTTCAGTCAATACTTTCATTATGTTTTTCTTTGGCTAACCAATTACTATCCTATTAGTATTCCACTATTCATGGTGGAATGTATAACTTGGAAAGTTTTCCTTACCCACGGAAAAACTATTAGAAATATCCTAATAGTTCTAGGACCACACAGAGAACTGTTAGGTATTTCTAATAGTTGTCCCATAGTTAAAGAAAACTGCTCAAATTACACATTCCACCAACAACTCCAGTCTGGTTAAGGAAAATACAAGCATAGTACCTTTCCCCTTCATGCTTTCAGGCTCACTTGTATATAAAGCACTGCGATACATCTTCCTAAAGTTAGATTTGCCTATGATCTTTCCAGTTAATTATGAGCATATCCTGCTAACTATTTCCTAAGTACAGGCTGTGTATTACACATCTTCATATTCTCAAGTCTAACTTGGTACCCAGCACACAACTCTATAAATGTTTGCCCAACTCAAGTCTAATTTGTAATTTCAATTTCATTCCACAAAGTTCTTTCTTTTTCAATTTAATAAGCATCATTTGACTGTTTATTATATGTCAGCAACTGTGCAGAGGGAATAAAAAAAATTACTATAAAAATATTTGCTGAAAGGATAATAGCTCTAGACTGCTACATGAATTAAAAAACCAAACTCACTGCCGTTGAGTCAGATCTGACCTGTGTAACTACCCCACCTGGGGTTTCCAAGGTAGTATCACTACAGAAGTACACTGCCCAACCTTCCTTCCAAAGAGTGGCTGGTGGGTCTGAACCTCCAACCTTCTGGTTAGCAGTCAAATGCCTTAGGCATTATACTACATGAATATCTAGCTGGAATTCACTGAAATTACATCCTTGACTTCTAAACAGGCATGTGAAAAAAAACTTCCCTTAAGCTCTAAAATCATACTCAAGGCACACATGTTTGAAAAGGATCAGTTATACCATCCATGTCCTTACCCTCTTCTAAGAGTACAACTTTTTTGTTAATTTACAATAGAAGGGCCAAGGTTCAGTTGTTTCATTAGCTTGAGAATATAATTTGTAGTACTGAGCCCCTTGCAACAAATTTTACTATACCTGTACAATCTATACCTCTAAAACATGAATGAAAAGGTAAGAGATTTCACTAGAGAGAATCAACATAAAAAAGGCTTTTTGCTATTAATCCTTTAGGGGCTTGCTAAAGGGGCATGGAGGTGGCATCTTCTGACCTCCTCTAACTCCACAAGAGGAAGATAAAAACACCATCAGCATCCCAAGGCCTGTTCTTATGAGTCCAGACATGCCGCTTACCCTACAGCCCTCTTACCAACCTTGACACCAACCATCCCTCTCGCAGCACCCACCACCTCTCTGCTGGGTTTGATAATTTGCTACAGTGTCCACACAGAACTCACAGTAGTAATTTACTAAACCACAGGGCTGTTAGTTTATGGCGCCACTTGGTATTTCTTGCTTTGTGTTTTAAAAACATTGTTTTAGTTAAACTTCAGTATTCATGCAAAAAACACTTTATTATATGAGGTGTGAACTGAATAGATTTGTCTTGCCATTCTCAAATTGTAACAGGACAAGTGTTCGTTTTTATGACTAAAGATTCATTCAATAGAACCAACGTTAAAATGTAAAGAAAAACTAATATTTGTAATAGCATCCATCGACTTCCAAATATATGGTGCTTAAAGTAAATAGAATTGATGAGTGTTTAAACTGAAACATCATGTCTTCTATAAACCTAATGGATAACAAAGCAGAGGTTTTGCCTACCTATTGTTTCCTGGCCATGGCAAGTATTCAGTTCAGCCAGAAGCTGATTAAAATCATCTTGATGAGCAATCCAGTTGTCCTGAAAATATCAAAACTGAATTAGAAGCAATCCTGTAGTTTACTCACTTTGACTAAAATACGATACATTTTAGAATCAAGGAAATATAGTAGCTAATGTTAAATTTTAAGTGCCTCCTCAAAAATATTATTTTAAAAATTTGAATGGAAAAAAAATAATATAACCTTGAAATGCCATTTATCCCTATTAATATTTAAAAGAGGCTTCTTGAAAGCTTAAGTTCTGATATCAAATGCAAACAACATAGGAATAGCCAAAAAAAAAATAGTCAAAATAGTCAAATAAACAAAAGGTAACCTACAAACTAAATATTAAAATAAAGCAAAATAAAATTAGTATTTTTTTTCCTAATGGAAATTACGTTCTGTATTTTTCTCATATAATGCTCCCAGATAAATAAACATGCACATGTATATATGGGCAGAGTGCACAAAGAAAACGAATGTGCAAAGGGTTTCCAAAAAAAAAGAAAAGGATATAATATGCATACTTTTTGTGTAAAAATACAGTAGTTCAAAGAACAAAAGCAGTGGGGGACTTTCAGGTCACCGTGAGTCAGAATCGACTTCATGGCAATGAGTTAAGCTAATGAGTTTTTCTTTGCTCATTTGAGCTTAATGTATTTTGCCTAATTATATTTGCTTGTAATGACCCCAATTTTACAAAACACTACTACTCTAGAGGGGGAAAGAGGGGACTCCAAGTTCCCTGCATCAGTCAGTATTCGTCCGTAAGGTGGTTAGTTAATAAGTTCATTATAACAAAAAGGAGCATTTAAAAAATGAAATAAATCAGTGAGAACCAGGATTTTAATGTAGAAGTTTGTCTTATGTACACTTTGTCAAGAATGACTACGATTAAGACATTGACAGACAAAGTGGACAATGTTTTGTCCCAGAAAATATGTATATCTGGCTTATAAAGATGACATTCAAAATCAACTTTATATAAACTGTTTCTTTGGGAGCTAATGGCATAGTGCCTAAGGCACTTGACTGCTAACCAGAAGGCTGGCAGTTCAAACCCACCAGCCACTCCTCAGAAGAAAGGTTGGGCAATGTACTTTTGTAGTGATACCACCTCGGAAACCCAAGGAGGGGTCGTTGTGAGTTGGGTCCGACTCCATAGAGCTCATAAAAACGGCATTCAAAATCAACTTTACATAAACTCTTTGTGTTGCTGTTAAGTGCCGTCGAGTGAGACCCGACTCATAGCGACCCTTCCTTGGGTTTCCGAGGCAGTATCACTACGAAAGTAGATTGCCCCATCTTCCTTCCGAGGAGTGGCTGGTGGGTTTGAACCGCCAGCCTTCTGGTTAGCAGTCAAGTGCCTTAGGCACTACACTATCAGAACTCCCAAACTCTTTCTTTAGTGACTTAAAATTCTAGTTGTTAGTCCAGAAAATTTTAGCTGCTCCAGTCTACTACTCAGAGCTTTTGAACTTTTGAATCAAAGTAATTCAGAAGGAAGGTTGGGCAATCCTACTTCCGTAGTGATACTGCCTCGGAAACCCAAGGAGGGGTCGCTATGAGTCGGGGCCGACTCGACGGCAAACAACAACAACAAGGTAATTATCAGATTTTCTACCAGATTCTGTGGGCTACAAAAAATTCAAGAACAAATTTTTCAGCTTAGACACTTACTAAATGAAAAAATATGCTGAAAATTATAAATATGGTGTTACTAATTTTAATTACCACATCATATTTTCAAAGAGTAAATGTTTAAGAGAAAATATGAATAAATTCAACTGCTACATACCAATAGTCAGAAACAAACAATGGGACACTACATTGATGTAATGTTTCTGAAACTAAATGACACCAACTTTTAATAATATAAGCTAACATTAGAACACAAAGATACAAATTCTTTTCTATCCTAAAACGAACATTACTACAAAAAATTTTTTTTTGCAAAGTTTAGCAATAAAACTAGTTTTCATCTCTTACACATTAGCAAAAATAAAGGATCCCATAAGAACAATAAGACAAGGTGAAAACATGTTACATGTTGAAAATTGGCTAAGTTAAGGGCTCTTGTTTTCTAAAATGGACAATATATGCTTGAACAATGAAAAATTAATAAAGTTCATTTAATTGTAATTTTTATAATTACAAAATTGAAGTCAATTATGCAATGAAAACATCCAGGAGATATACTCACTTCATTATTGATTGTAGCTCCAAGTCCCAGGTGGTTGTTTTTAACTTGAACTTTAATATGATCTGTGGCTCCTTGCTCCTGAGCTCCTAAACCCTGCAAAGATTACACACAAGTCGAGTTAGTACTTTTATTGGGGGCAAAGAGAGATTACCTCTTTCCTTCTTCAGCAGCTTTTTCATTAATTACTGAGCATCTAGGAGCATGGCACTATCCTAACCCTTCAAGAGGATAAAATCTACTGGATTCTTACAAGAGAATATGTTTTGTAATACCAAGGATTCAGTTATAATACTAGATTGTAATTTTTCAATTCAAGACCAAATTTATGGCCTACATAAACACTAAGTAGAATGTCTCTTGAAGATGCTCAGAAGCAAAGACAACTGTCACAAAATTAGTAGAAGCCTATGAGATGTGTTAAGAGTCTATGGCTTTCTTCATTAAATAATTTTACAAAACAACACTATGTGAGGGGAGAGGAGAAGGGTAACTTAAGTCTTCTGCATCAATTAGTATTATTTGTAAGGTGCTCCAGGTGAAGAGAATAAAAAGTGCAGAGATCCTTCAGTGGGAAAGAGCTTGATGTACTGGAGAATCTAAAAGGCACCCAGGGTGGTTACAGCAGAGTAAATGAAAAGGAAGTAAGATATGAAGGGGATTAGACCTCACAGGGTCTTGAAGTGATGGTAGGAATTGGATTTTATTTGGAAAACCACTGAACTTTTAACTAAGGGAATGATATGATGTAAATTATGTGTTTTAAAATATCATTCTGGCTGTTGAATGGCAAGTGCCCAAAGGAGGGAAAGAAGGAAACAAGTCACAAAAGCAGTTGAGAAGATGTTGCTGTGATCACAGGAGGCAAAGATGGTAGCTGGACAGTGGCTGTACCCTGAATAGAGAAGAATAATGACAAGCTGTGAGAAGTAAGAGAAGTGGATGAACCAAGCATGACTCCCCAGTTTCTGGCTTGAGTAACTGGGTGCCATCTGCTTAAAATGGGGAAAACCTGGGAAGGAAGAGGTGGGAATATCAAGAGTTTTGTAGTAAAAACGACAAACTTGAGATGTTTACTCAAATGAAAATGTCAAGTATGCTGTTGAATTTATAAGCTCAGAGGACAGAGCAGGGTTAAAAATAGAAAACTAACAGTTCTCAGATTTTAGATGAAAATTCACAGCCATGGTATAGGAATGACTGAGATCACCTAAGCAGAGCTTAGACCAAGTACCTGGGGCTGAACAATGAGGAACTTCAAAGCTCAAAAATTTGGAGGGGGAAGAGCAGGAGCAAATTTTTGAGTGGCCTGGCGAGGTACAAGGAAAAAAGCGGGACAGAGTGTAGTACTGTGGAAGCCAAGGCAGAAGAATTTCAAGGTGGGAGAAGTTAGTACTGTCCAATGTTGCTAAGGGGTTAACTAATGTGAAAACAAAAAAGAATCTATTACATTTGGCAAGAAGATCACTAAAGACCTTGACAAGAGATATTTAAGCATAGAGATAGGAGTAGAAGCTTATTGCAGTAAAGAATAATAGAAAGTGGAGAGTTGCAGTAAGATGGTGGAATAGGCAGACAAACTATACAGACCCTCTTCATCAAAGAAAAGGGGAACCAATTAACACAGACACGAAAGGTAATCCCGGAGCCCTGAGCTTTGAAAAAAAGGATACAAAAGTGGACTAAACTCCAACTTGTAGAAGAACCTGCATGAAAACACCAAAAAAGAGATATACAGAGCTTTGGTCTGTCAGCAATCCTGACAACACAGACAGCGTGGATGTTGCTAAGTGATGTGAGGACCTAAGAATTAACCTAAAAATCACCTCTGCTATCCAGGGGGTGCACAGAGGACTGCATTGGTGGCTGGTGAATAAAAGGGGAAGCAGTGAAGAAGGAGATGGGCTGAGCCATGGACTTTTGGCAGTCCAGAGGGCGCAGCCATTTTGAATG